TGCTGCTGCTGCTGCTGCTGCTGCTGCTGCTTCAGCCATGCTCTGCTTGCTGGTTCCTGAGTGCCTCCCGTTGCGGCGTCTGTGCCGCCGCCCTCGCGGGTGCTCAACTGCAACCGCCGCCACTGGTGTTGCTGCTGCTGCTGCTGCTGCTGCTGCTGCTGCTGCAGAGAAGCACCCGGAGTGGTACAGCGGGCCCGTGGGGCCCTGCGAAGCCACTCACCGCCTTTTGTGTTGGTGGAGGTTTAGGCCGACAGGGAAGCACCAGCCGGGGCTGGTAATTCGGGACCTCGAGTCCGAGGTTGAAGCCAGTAAACCCTAAACCCTAAACCCTAAACCCTAGACCCTATGCCGAGCCCTCCCCGCCCGCGCGGAGGCCCTTCCGCTGCTGCTGCCGCTCTCGGAAACCCCAAGTCAGGGTTTGCGCCCCACAGCTGTCCGCGCCACACCCTGGGCTAGAGCTTAGGGTTTAGGGTTTAGGGTTTAGGGTTTAGGGTTTGTGACGCAGAACGAATGACCCCCAGCGTCAGAGACGCTTTGGCTGCGGGAGTGGCAGGAAGAGGGCCTCAGGGTCGCCCCGGGGGGCCCCCCATGGGGCCTCGGATATTGTGGTGGTGATGAGTCTGGAGGATTTGAAATACTCTTTGTGCAATTGGACCACTACTAGACCACTGGTCTGCGAAGATTAAAAAGATAAAAAAAGATATTTTAGTTGTTTTAAGAAGCGATTAAAAAGATTAAAAAAGATATAAAAGAAGATTAAAAGGGTGTTAGAAAGAAATTAGAAAAGTGCTAAAAGGAAATGGAAAAAATTGATAAAAGAGGCAAAAAAGAAAGAACTAAGAGAAACAAAGAAAAATATTCAAAAAATAATGAATAAAAAGAGACGGAGGATTAAAGAATATAAAATAAATTGTAAAATGAAAGGCAGTTTTACTAGCAAATATATAAAACTAAATAGATGAAAGATAATATTAGGAAAAGGTGAATCAGAGAATATAAACGCCAGAAATCAATTAGAATAAAAATTAAGTTAGAACATAATAAATTCGATAGTGAATAAATCAAGATAGTTATAAACTAAATAAATAAATAATTAATTAATTGATTTAAAAATAAATAAATAACACAGGTAGTTAAGCAGGGGGACAGTTTAAATAAATAAGGGGAAATGTGGGAAAATGAGTGAAAATATAAGTAGATAAAAATAAGTAGAAAAATAGATAAACAAATAAATAAATTAATTAATTAAATAAGTAAATATTTAATAAACATTTAATGAAAGGGGAAAGAATAGAAGACAATAAGAATAGTGACAAATGAGTATTTAAAAACCGAAATAAATAAAAAAAAATAATGGAAGGCAATTATTAAAGAAGAAATGTAAGTAAAAGAGAAATAAATGAGGAGACAGTTAAATAAGAGGAAAAAAAAGAAATAAAAAGAAATTAAAAAGTAAAAAGAAATAAAAGAAAGAAATAAATTTGCAGACAAATAAAAGAAAAAAGAAATGAGGAAGAAACGAATATAGGACTTTGAAGACTTTTGAAAATATTTTAAAAATAGTTTTAAAATACTTTTTGAAATAATTTAAAAAAAATTTCGAAACTGTTTTAAAAAATACTTTTAAAGTACTTTTAAAATACTTTAAGGAACGGTTTTAAAGTATTTCGAAGAACTTAAAAAAAAATTTTCAAATACTTTAAAAAATCTTTTTAAATGTTAAAAAGTGTTATGGAAATACTCCTGTGTGTCTTTCTACTTTTCTGTTTGTTTATTTTTTTTCTTTTATTTATTTTGTAGTTATTTATTTGTCTTTTTTCTTTTCATTTATTTATTTTTGTGTTCGCTTTTTATTCGTCTTTCTATTTTTCAACCTGCCTTTTTTGTTTTTATTTATTTATTTATTTATTCGTCCTTCTGCTAATCTGTTCATTTGTCTTATGAATTTATTTGTCTTTTTATTTATTCATTTATCTATCTATCTTTTTACTCATTCTTTCGTCTTTTATTTGTTTATTTATTTTTCTGTCTGTTTATTTATTTATTCATTTGTTTTCTTGTTTCCTCATTTTCTGTCTTTCTACTTGTTTTTGTCCCTGTGCGCTGCAAGCCTAGGGTTTAGGGTTTAGGGTTTAGGGTTTAGGGTTTAGTACTTGGGGTTCAGATTTTAGGGTTTACACTTTAGAGTTTAGGCTTTAGAGCATAGCATTTAGGACTAAGCATTTCCGGTTAAGGGTCTAGGGTTTAGGCTTTAGGATTTAGGCTTTAGGCCTTAGTGTTTAGGGTTTAGGGTTTAGGGTTTAGGGTTTAGGGTTTAGGGTTTGTGTGCAGCCTTTTCCCGCGGGAGCTCAGCAGGCGCGTTTGGAAAAAGCTGCAGGTTATTCTTTAAAAGCTTTAAATGCATTGGCAAGGGCCAAGAAGATACTTCAACTCCGAGAAAAATACAAAGGTTTGTTGCTGCTGCTGCTGCTGCTGCTGCTGCTGTTTTGCTGCTGCAGCACCAGTAGTTCCTGCTGCCGCGTTTGCTGCTGCTGCTGTTTCCCTCGCTGCTGCTCGCGCAGCAGCGCGCCCCCCTCCCCTGCCACCCCCGCAGCAGCCGCAGCAGCAGCAGCAGCAGCAGCAGCAGCAGCAAGTTTGGGATTTTGCATGCAGACATGAAGCACGCATGTCCAGAGGCTTTGGAAAATCAGCTGCTGGACACTTTGGCCAGAGAGCACATAAAGCCCACGCGCAACATTGTGAAGCATCTTTTCTCAGTCAGAATTTATTTTTTTCCCCTTTTTTCCCCTTTTTTGAAGCTTTTCTCTCCGTTTTTTCGACTGCTTTTGTCTCCTTTTTAACTCCTTTTTATTTCCTTTTTAGTTCCCTTTTAATTAATTCCTTTTTATTTCCTTTTTATGTTCATTTTTGTTTTCTCTCTTTTGGCGTTTTTTGGACTTTTTTGGACTCTTTTTGGACTTTTAGTTGGTCTTTGTTTGTCCTTTTTTTGTGTTTTTATTTGTCTTTTATTTTCTTTTTATTTATTTTTAAAATTATCTTTCAATTACTTTTTATTTATCTTTCAATTCTCATTTTATTTATCTTGCATTTATCTTTTGCTTATCTTTTATTTATCGTTTATTTATCTTTTAATTGTGTCTTTAGGTCTCTTCTTAGTTGTCTCGTTTTATCCTTTTTATTTATGTAATTGCCTCCTCTTATTTTTCATTTTATTTATTTAATTTTCAAATTTATTTTTGCTTATTTAATTTTCTCTTTTTATTTATTTTTGTTTATTTTATTGTCTCCCTTTACGCGCTTTTTGCTTCTTCATTCCCCGTTGCTTTGTCTTCTCTTCGTTTCGTAAATTGCTGCTGCTGCTGCTGCTGTTGCTGCTGCTGCTGCTGTTGCAGCTGTTGCTGATCTTGATTTGTGTTTTTTGTTCGGTTTCTTCAGGTATCGGCAGACACAATAATTCAAAGCTACACTACTATGCCTCCAGGCAAGGGCTTAGGGTTTAGGGTTTAGGGTTTAGGGTTTAGGGTTTAGGGTTTAGGGCGGGTTTGGCTGTGGAGAAGGCCGGACTGACGGTTTGTGTGTGGGCTCGAGGGTTTAGGGTTTAGAGAGGCTCTGTGTGTCCAGGGTTAAGGGTAGAGGGTTCA